GGGGGGGGGGGGGGGGGAAATCCCCGAGGAGAAGATATGCCGGAGGAGATCGCGGTCGCGAGATTGAATCTCGTCGCGATTTCGCGTTCCACGCATCGATGTCTCCGATCTCTGTCGAAGACCTCGCCGCGCCACAAGATGGATACACGAGGAAGTTTCGCGCGGACAAAACACGCTGGTGTGTCAGAAAAGCGCTGGACCGGATAGGATAAATCCTGGCCACGAGATCAGCCATTCGCGAGGGAACACGAGTGCCTCCAGACACGAAGCGCGTTTACGTAACCTTAATAGCTTAATATCGATTTTTAGTTCGTATTACCCGCCGTTCAAAGGCGAGCCTCGGATCACAGATAGTGAGGTGATCGGATTGCGCGAGCGTCATCGCGATAACAATGCGGTCGTCTTTATCGTATATTTTGTTTTTTCTACCTTTGCATCTCTACCTCTTTCTCTTACTTTTCTTACGTTCATTCTCACTCTCGTTCTCTCTTTCGCTCTCACTTTCTCTCCCTCTCTCTCTCTCTCACACTTTCACTCTTTTTCTCCCTCTCTTTCTCTCTCTCTCTCTCACTATTCTGTTTTTAAGTTTTGTCAGTATGCGTTCTTCCTGCGTTTCTCCTAAGGATTTCAAGGCGACAGCTCCTGAAAGCAAACAGCATCCGGCCGTGTACGCACGCGAATTCACAGTGGCACATGAGAAATCTCGTCCGAGGAGATTTGCAAGAGGGATCCGTCATCGAATCATCGTCAAGAGAGATATACACACTCGTCGACGATTCCGCGATCTAGCCGTGCGACGCGCTCGATGTGAAATTAAAGCTTTGCTTTATACACGTAGTGTGAGAAGAGAAATATGCGTTCGTTCGTTCGGGGAAATTACGAATATGCCAATACGCTCTTCTTACCGATAGTGTTTTTCGATCGATTCCTTTTTAGTGTCTCTCTCTTTCCCTCTCAAAGCCGAGATATTTTCACGACCGCGCGCGCGCGCGCGCGCACGTCCGGTTGAAGGATATTTTTCTTTTTTCTTTTTTCTCTCTCGAAACGCAATCCTCGTGTCCTCTGCTCGGTTCCGTTATAACAAGAGATCTCTCTTCGCCCGCGAGTGGCGTGCCATTTATACAGATACGAAAGTGTGTGTAGAGAGAATATATCTATATATTTTTTTATACACATGTATACGCATACACGATATATATATATATATATATATATATATATATATATATATATATATATATATATATGTATGTATGTATGTATGTACCTACGTACACGTACGACCAACTAAGGATAGACAGGCGCAATCACGTGTGTGTTTCGGCTGGCGAGCGAATCCGATTGTGATCGGCTGTGCTCCGGGTTTGATATCCCGTGTATCTCGACGCTATCGAGATTGGTGGTCGATCGGAACTTTCGAGTCGCCGCCGATCTCGGATTCGACGCCGTCTGTACATATTATATATGTATGTGTGTATGTGTGTGTGTGTGTGTGTGTGTGTGTGTGTGTGTGTGTGTGTGTGTGTGTGTGTGTGTGTGTGTGTGTGTGTGTGTGTGTGTGTGTGTGTGTGTATTTATCGGATGCAATGTGCGTGTATATCGGATGGTGGAATCAAACAGAGACCGAAAGAAAATGAGTGTCCAGGGAAACGAATTTTATAACGAGATTCCGTGCTGGCAGGAGGGGGTAAATGGTAGCAGAATCAAATGCCAAAGAAAAAGGAGCACTGATGAGAGAAGAGGAGAAACGGAAAGAGGGCTCGATGCGATGGTTACCGAGCTCGCTCGCGATTACAGGTCATGCACATCAATTTTCTAATACAATTGCAATCGTCCGTCCTCGGGTAGGATCCCCGCGTCCTCGATGGAATCGAGACGCGAGCGATTAAAAGTGCGCCAGGGTAGGTTCAAACCTCAAAGCGCAACGTCCAGATGCGCTCTCTGCGTGATAAGGATCGCGTAAGGGTTGTTCGTGTACTTCTGCACTGTTTTTCTCTTCTTTTATTTTTACAACAGATCTCCATTATAAATTTATACTCGCATAATTTCAATTTCCGTCGTTTTTATAATAAAAAAAGTCTCATTTCTATACAATAGTTAAAAAAGTATGATTTAGGTACATATTCGTAAACACGCGATTCTTAAATTAATTTTCTCGTTTCATCGAGTTGCCAGGAGATGCAAAGGTCACACGTGAGCATCTTCATTCTTTACACGCGATCAGTGCAAAACGTTAAATTTCACATTCACACCCGACGAGTTTGAACCCCGTGTTGCACGCAAACATATGGCCATTATCGTCGTCGTAGAGGGAGTTTTTCGCGAAAGAAGCCAAACTTACAAGAAAATGTGCGTAGAAAACCAATGTAAGAGAAGAACGTGATTATGAATTATAACTGAACGTAAGAGACATTCGCCAGCATTACATCAGGAGGATAAACATGTCAGTGAACATGGGAGACGAGTAACAAGGCATTAACATAAAGTTTCACATGGTTGTGTGTGCGATTGTGTTTGGTACTGCGTGTATGACCTGGAAAGGTGTGGCGGAAGACGAGACCCTGCGCGGGTACTGGCGCGTTTCCTGCCGCCTTCGCGCGCGCGCGCGCGCGTGTGTGTGTGTGTGTACATGTCGTTTCGTGTGACGAGTGAATGTGACTCGATTCCGATCTATCCCGTTCGCGCTTCCTCTCCCTGGAAAGGTGCGAGTACGTCGAGTCTATTGTCTGTATGGAGAAACGAACGAAAACTTGTGTCGCGAAGGAAAGAGCACATCCGCGATCTAACGCATTTCCGCTCGCGTCATCACTCGCGCGCGTCCCTTTTTTCCCGACCGAGACGCTACTCCACGCGCTCGCGGTTATAAGGCAAGACCAGATTAATGACAGGGAATACGCGGAGAATAATTTCCGTCTTACGACCCAATTGTCCTGCGACCGACGACAACGATTCCTCTCGCTTCCACGACCGAATGAGAGTGTGAGGCGCAGTTTTTCGCTACGTACGACTTCGACTTCGTCAAATGATAAGCAACAGCTGGAGAATCACTCGACCCACCCCGCGCGACTTCGGGAGTTACCAACCCCCTCGCATCACTTATCTTCCTCTTCCCGCAAGACAGACCGTTCGTACGCGTATCCGTCGCACATACGCGATCCACACGTCACCCATGTATTTCTTTACTCTCCCTATGATACAATCGAATGAATCGCCCACGAATAGAGAAACAAACACCACTTGACTTTAGGATCACTAGCCGGCCAACCACCACGTTGTATGCATGTGATGCATCTCACGTGTGTATTCTTACGTATTTCTTTCGCGTCACGTGTCTACTCTGTGTTGAAAAAAGTGTTGAATTATCGATAATTTGCTTGGATAATGAAAAACTCGTTCGAGCAAATAATTAGTCGGCTGAATGAAATATGATGCGATAAATTATGCGTTGAGATTTCATTATCAATCATGACGCTTATTCTGAACTTTTTTTTACCGATAAAAGTAGCCTTACAAGCCTTCATAAAATCAGAAGTGCACAGAGGTACTTTTATCAATAAAAAAAAGAGTGCAGAAGAAGAGCAACTTCTTCAATCAAAGCTACGTATTGCTATACGAATTTGTTTAGTGGACGTACCATTTGCTCGAATCAGGATGGATCCGTCAATTTTATCCACTCAACCACTTTCCTTTCTCCACGTCTGTGCATGTGTGTGTGTGTATATGTGTATTTATGTATCTGGTCAACCTGCTGCGTTATGTAGGTGGTCATTGGTTCTCGCTCGCTTGCTCATTCTCACTCTTACTCTCACTCTCATTCTTTTTACGCTTCGTTTCCACAGACATTTCCTGCTGAGTAACATAACTCTCGCACTTGTGTTTGTCTCCGCGCTGAGGAAAAAAAAAGGAAAAGTAAAATATATGTATATATATACATGTATATATATGTATATATATACATATACATTTTTCTTTTTTATATATTTAGTCTTAGACGCGCGGTCGCTTTTCGTTTTCCCGGTCGGAATCAGAGTCCGCTGAATCGTGGAGGGGCGGAAATTCGGGCACCGCCTCGCGTTGTTGCATCCATCCCGCCGCGCCTGGCCCCCCAGCCAATGCCTTGCCCTGCGTCATGTTTTTCGATTGTTTGTTTTTTGTTTTGCAATTTTTTAGCCCTCTGTCTTTATCCCCTGCAGGATGGCGACAAAATAGCGTGTCATTGGTCACTAAGCCTCGCCTCGACCCGGTTTATTTATTTACTTTTTTAAGAGAGAACTTGCTTTGTCACACTTTTGCTCAAAAGAGAACATTGAGTCTACCCGCGCGCGGTTGGACTCGCGGGTATGCCAAACCTTCTCAAAGCATGGCACGTCGCATTAGCGTTTCGTGCGAAACGAGAGATCGTTGTTGTTGTTGTTGTTGTCGTCGTCGTCGTGGTAGTTTCGTCTTGTTGAGTTACGTTGCAAGAAAAAATGAAACGTCATCAAAGGTTCTTTGAAAACGTACGTTCCATTGTACGAAACTATTTCTACGCGACATTTCCAAAAAGCAACGAAGAGATTCGATGTCTCATGACAGTTCGGTGTTAATAATTGCCGATGATATCGTCATTATCGCGTCTCTCGTTTCTTCACGCGTAGGAAGCGAAAGGATTTATGAATGCTCCTTCTTTTTACTCGTAAGATTTGTCATCCGGATGTATCTTGTCATTATCTTAATGAGAGAATCGAAAACCGAAATGCGCATTAAATATGGAGATATCCTTTCGAATTCACCAATGCAACGTGCCGATGTCTATTCTACTGTCTACGCGAAACTCTGAACTTTGCATAACGAGCTACAATGAAATTCCGATCATTCGCTCCCTCTCTGTCACTCCTTTTTATTTTCCCTTGCTCTCTCTTTCACTCTCGCTCTCTATCTATCTGTCTCTCTCTTTCTCATTCTCTATCAATCTTTCGCACTCTGTCTGTTCATTCAAATATCCCCAATCGATCATCTTTCAAACGAAAACAGAGATAAAGGCACACACACGTACTACCTTGTAAAACCAGACACGCGTGAGTCTCCGAAAGTAGCGTCGTCGTAATTCCATCGTCTCTGCGATATTCATTGAATTATTCTCCATAGATTACGATAATTTTTCGTAAAAACACAAATGCCTGAATATTAATAACACTGGTACCCAACTCTAAATATTCTTACTGTTTTGATCTTCAAATACGAATATTTAAATTTTCGATAAAAAGAATATATATATATATATATATATATATATATATATATATATTCTACGTTAAAATTTTCATATTTAAAGACTCTCACAACAATGAGGTTGCTTGAAGTTAGATACTAATGTTATTAGGTATTGGTGATTTTGCCTTACCATCTTCTACAAGTCACGAAAGCGTATCGATCATTGTGATAATAAAAAAACAAAAAGTAACAGATGAATTTCCCGCTTCGGAGGTTCACGCGTCTTGAAATTCTACATGCAGCCATGCATGTCATAAAAAGTATCAGCCCTAATTTTTTCAACTATAGGATTTAACACTCCAACGCTTTGTTTTCCTTCTATCAGCCTATGTACATACTCGTGTGGGTTGCGTGTATACAAACTGTGTGCGTGTATATGCGAATGTATATGTGCGCGCAAATAACTGCCTTCGAGAGTAAGTCTGTTAAATTGAAGTATCGAAAGCCGTATGAAAAGCGATACGAAACCTCGCGCGCAATTGCATAAAGTGCGTGTATTTCCGCGGTACGTTTATGTGGAAACGGGAGATTCGCGTGATTTCCCGTCAGCCTCTCTCTCAGATGCCGAAGCTAAAAAGAGAAATAGCAGAAGTCCTGTTCTGTCGCGTATGAATATAATTTCAAGGCCCCATTTCGAGATTTTCTTTCCTTTCACCGACATTGTTGAGCCTCGCGACAGGAAGAATCGTCGTTAAAGTAACGTTACCGTGTTCCTCGGCACACACGTCCGAGACACATAATGTGATCGAACGATCGATAATCGAGTTAACTTATCGCTTGCTGCCACCAACATTTTTTTTTATTAATCTACATAACAAACGACTATCTAACGTATCTCTAAGAAATAAAAAGAAAACAGAAGAAGATGAAGAGTCTCGTTATCAAAAATCTTATTGCACACTTAACGAGATCTAATTCTAAAGGAAGAGCTCGAAGGCGAGGACGTCTTTTTTCTGGAGGGAATAGTCGCGTACGGGCGAGAGGTCCTGCGCGGGAACTCGACGAGGAAGTCCGCAGGATCCCAGGACCCGAAGATCCGAGAATACCCTATAGAAAGCTCGACTTGCGTGTGAATGCGCGACCTATGCGTGTTCCAGCGTCGCTTTTACCGACGATGTGTGAATTTCCTGACTCTTCCAATGCTGATACATTCTTCCTAGGATGTGTATGGAGCGACGCGACGCAAGGTCAGCAAGAGAGATCAGTTTCGGACGCGCGTCGACGAGAGAATCGCTACCGACGTTGCTATTTCCCTTTGTGACACGTCGAATTCCTTCTCTTCGCGAAATTCCCGTTCGCCCCCGGTGAGGATTTGGCCGTGCCATAGCGAATCCCGAATTGTCGAGTACCGTGTTCGCGGAGCGCCGTCAAGTTCCGTCTGGTCGTGCGTGTTCGCATTTTTAACGCGCGTCGCGACCGACAACGATGACGGCGACGATGACACGACAACGATGGCGGTCGCGGTCTTTCCCCTCAAGCGGTTTGGTTCGAAAATAAGTTGACACCGCTGTCGGGGTCTGGAGACTCCTTCTTCGCGCTACGACGGTCTTCTCCCGTCGTCATCATCGTCGAGACGTGATTCCGAGCAGAAATCTCGAAACGTCCACGGAATAAGCGGCGAACACACGTGCGTCTGTCCCCACCCGTTTGTACGTATATGTATATATTGCACTATCGATGAGAGTTAACCAGATGAGAGCCGTGAACTGGCACACCTCACCAGTCGCAGAATCCTAACACGTCTCTCCCGAGCGCCCCGCTCCTCGTTCCTAGAGTACTCTCGCGAAATCCTCGACCGCTCTTCGAACACCTCTCTCTCTCTCTCTCTCTCTCTCTCTCTCTTTCTCTTCGTCTCTTTACTTTCGCTCGCTCAAAACGGAGAGAGAGGAAACCTACGCATTCGGTGCAACGGAGTACGACGTCCGGGAGTGGCTCTCATCGGCTTCTAATCCCGGGTCATCACCCTCTCTCTCTTTCTCTCTCTCCCTCCCTCCCTCTTTCTCTCTCTGCCGCAAGCTCTTTCAGCGCTTCTCTCGCGCTTTTTTTATTTCGCTCACGACAAGCACTTTCTCTAGGTACGATTGCGAACGTTTTAGGCCGGCGTGAGGCATCACTGGAAACACAATAAAAAAAAAAAAAGCACGAGAGGCCGAGATCAGTGTACACGCATCACAGTTCCAATTTCCACGCTCATGTTTTATTACTTTCCCCGATCTTGTTCGATCTCTCATTCTCTCTTTCTCTCTCTCTCTCTCTCTCTCTCTCTCTCTCTCTTACTCGCAATTCTCACACTCTCCTCTCATTTAGCTTCGACTGCATGTCTTTTGCGTGGCTGTCTGATCCGATGTCTCTCTCTCACTCTCTGTCGCCTTCTAAGAATTTCGTTTCATCTGCATCAAGAAAAAACGTCATTGAGTCTCGATCCGGTCGAATTAGAGTTCTCGATCTCTCTCTCCATTTTTTTTTAATTTTTTTGAGCGTCTCGCGTCAGGTCACAATTTTAGTGGCCGACGTTTTTGTAACACGAATTTGTCCGATATCACGTTCGAGATTTTCAATTCCCCTCTATTTCCATCGTTAAAATCCATTTCTTTTGTAGTTAACGAAAAATACTCCAGATCTGCGCAACTAGTGAAGTTTTTTTACGAGTGATAGAAGGAGAATCGTGCGTCGTTTGGGACCGTCTCTCGGGTGCGATTCGCGGATCTCGCGGCCTCCGAGACGGATCGTCAAAGGTGATGGAGAGTAAAAGAGACGGCGTAGCAGACGACCGATGAATCGTGACAGTAACGTAAAGTAGATTACCAGTGCCAGAACTGTGCTTGCGACAATGCACGCAGTCCTCACCCTCGAAATACCGTTCTCGATATTTTGGTAACACGTCGAGTGTGGTATGGTAGCCGGCAGGAGAGCTTTAATACGCAGTACAGCTTGCTCACTCGTTTTATAATCGTACGTTTCTGAGCATAACGTAAGTTATTACGTATATAGTGACAGATTACTATTTTGGCGTCTTGTATGAAAATGATCAATGAATAATAAATCAACAATAAAACTGATCAAAAAAGAAGTCTGGATCGGCAAAGAGGAAAACGATCAATCTGACAATTTTTCGACAAGCGCTCTCTCGCACACTTGGAATATGCAAACATAATTGTTGCAAACACAGTTCCGTGTTTCTTATCGTTACTATTGTTAGACTCGGAATACCAACCAATAGCTGATTAAAATGAGAATAGAAGAAGAGAGGCTGGAAATGGGGCGGAGTGAGGCGAAGACGACAAACGAGGCTGTGATAAGATATAAGTAATGACGGAATACAAGTGGATTACTTGACCGGTGCACAGACATGTTAAGAGTCACTCGGGCCGGCGTGTGAGATAGGCTCGTTGTGCTTAAAAAAATCTAAAGAGTGTATAAGCGATTGTTCACATTTGTTACGTATGCGATTATGGGAAACGTTAGTGCCAGTTGCAGCGTCAATGGTAGGGAGAGCTTGTCGCAAAATCCGCTGAACGGACTCGAGTACATGTGCGCGCGACGCACTGGAGGGACCGGCATCGATCGAGTGACGGTTTCCCGAAAAAGAATAGCGGAAAATCGCGAATGCTGAGAGAATCTCTTCGAGAATGGATCGATCAGGAGAAAATCATTATCGTTTGCGAATGACGATCGTGCGACAGCCTGCAGCACAACCTAGCCGTGTCTAACGTCGCGCGCGTAGAGATGTGCTGAAAATTTCAACCGACTAGATCAGGACGACTATTTGTTTACCGTGGAAAGAAATGAATCTACTCGATAACGCCATTTAAAAACGTGGTACTCGCCGAGCCGTAAATTTGCGCTACGTGCGTTGTGTGAATCCCAGAAGAGGAGCACACTGATCGAACGATAAAAACCGATGGAACTTAACGCCAGCAAGAAAATACGGATGTAGGAAGAAGGCGGGCGCCGTTTCAGATCGATAGAGACCTATACAAAAGCCGGAAGTGACTGCGGAACAGCGCGGCTACGAGCATGCATTTTAGTCGCTTCATTTCCACCTTTCCGGCAAGAGAGAGAGAGAGAGAGAGAGAGAGAGAGAGAGAGAGAGAGAGAGAGAGAGAGAG